TTCTAAGTATTTTTCCTTTTTATTTGTTTCTCCAAAATGATTATGTTATACACTTTTCCATTCAATCACAAATGTCACTTCAGTTATACTTGAAGCTAATGTATAGTTTTTATATAAATGAAATTTTTGTAACATTTCAATGTCAGCCATAAGAGACAAGCACCTCCATTGCCAGTTCGAAAATTAAAATGGTATAATAAACAGGTAAGTGACAAATCGGATGAGAAATTGGCTTCATAGTCATTTATTAAAAACTTAAACAATTTATCTGCTAAATAATCCATAATAATAAATTAGTATGAAGGAGACTATGTATGGTTCAAAGTTACATAAATATAAAATGACTGTAAGGAACAAGAAAAAAATGAAACATTGTGAACACAACACGTAGATAATACATTATATCTCAATACAGTGGCGTGCAGAGGTTCTATGATACCCGGGGCCTTGTACCTAAGACCTTGGGGAAGGGCGGAAAGGGTTCTACTATTCGATTCGACTCTTTGCGTTGGATGCCCTCCCGATATGGATGCCCGGGGCCCCGGCACCTTTCGCCCCCCCCCCCTCTGCAAGCTACTGGGCCCTGGTGCAACTCAACCATGTGGAGGCATCTGTAGATACATTGGAGAATAAAAACTAAAATTTTGTGATATAAAAACAAGAGTATAAAAATAAAACATATCAAGCCAAAAAAATGTTTTCGGTGCTTTTCTACAGAGAGTCTATCATAAAGTTAGCAGTCAGCCATTTGCAGTTGTAGTTGTAGAGCGTGATGCAAATGGAGTCTTGGCGAGAAATCGACATGGAAAACAGTACAAAGCTTGCCTAATACTACTCCAGACTAGCCAGTCACGTTTACTGTATTCACCATTTTGCAGTAAACACTTGAAAAGAGAACTTGGAAAAGCAAAATCTTTAGGGTGTTGTAGAGGCCAAGCTCTAACATCTAGCTCAAAGTTTCAGCTGATACACTCTCATCAGAGTACCAATATCAAAGCCACTGAGCTATTGTGGCTTTTTAGGAACATTTTTAGAAAGTGTTCCTACAGTAGTGATTACATTTGGCTGTAGATAATCACTTTGCTTTTCTATAACAGAATATGTTAATATATTGTTATTCGTATTAGTATCATTTGACATTTCATCATGCTCAGTCAATTTATTCGAAGTAACAGCACTTGCTTCATGGTAATTACTGACATCAGACCCCGAACAGAAAGTTTTGGGCTGATCTTCACCTTTTTTAAAAAAAAAACCAACAGCATATTCTTTCTTCTGTTTGAATTTCCTCTTTTGTGCACAAGATTTGTGTTATATTATTGAGACATTCCTCAATTGAAAAGGGATCTTAAGCTGAAAAAAAAACTAAAAAAAAACTGTGATATCTTTAAGTCATCAATATATATTAAAACAACGAACTGAATTCTAGGTTTATATATTGTTACGTATCTGGTCGTTTGTTAATTTCCGGTATAAATTCTAGCCGAGAAACTTCAGCGATACAAGTCCTTTCTTAATTAAACTAGTTTATTCTTTCTCGATACAACTTTGCAATACACAGAATTTCCACAGTCACTTTAACTTAACTACTTTTATAAACACACGCTTTAATTTACAGCGATACACACACTTTACTTACGGTGCCTACTGTTCGCTTGACTCAATTATCTCTATCCTCAATCTATCTGCCTATCTCTGCAATTCTATCTTTTTTGCTGGCTTCATTTGCCGGGCTTATATACTAAAAAAGAGGGCGCTTGGAACAAACTAGAGTTGCCAGGAAAATTCATGATCCTTCCAGAAACTCCAGCGCGCATGCTCCCAGCGTCGTGTGACTTTCGCTGTCGTAACATCTTGAAACACTAATCATAGAAAGTTTGCAAGTGCACTTTACTAATATATATATAAGTAAGATTCAAGCATTTTCACTTTTCTTGTGGCAAAAAAAAGAAGAAAGAAATTGCTTAATAAGAAAATAATACAGTATAGGTATGAATATATGTATATCGATATCTATATATATTTCTTACTATGCGTATTTTTTCATATATAATAAACAATACTATCCTGACTATTTTAACAAGAATATCGGTGTTAGATAATACGCGACTGTTTCAATTTAAGTTTATTGCGAGCGTTATGATTTAGATAGTTTATATAGCGCTGGTGTCATATTTATTTATTTTTGGATGCGATATTTTATGGTAAGTTTGTTTATGTAACTGTTTACGAATCATATGCTGTATAGTTCAACTGTTATTAGCGATTGTTTACAATAGTGACATTATTACGTCATGACAGAACTTTTTGAGTTTCTCATTGGTTTAATTGAGTATTGTTGCGTCAGCGAGGTCACGTGACTAGTATCACGCCACCTGTTTTCTAGAAATATCCCGTTCCTTCAAGAATGCCCTAGCATTTACTAGATATGGGGGTAGTATGGTATATATAAGATGGTCACAACGTGACGGGACAATGTGTAGGTAATGAGTAATTGAACTGCAGTCAGAGAGTGTGTAATTGAGTATTGTCGAGCACGAGCACGTGAGACGTTCTAGCGTTGTTATAGAGCGACTGTTGAAGTTCAGTGTATCGGTAAAGTTGTATTCGGAAAGAATAAACCAGTTTTATTTAAGAAAGGACTTGTGTCGCTAAAGTTTCGTTGGAACGAATTTACGGAAAATTAATTAACGAACGAACGGAGACGTAACAGTATATATAACATAAATGCTCAATGTAGGAATCCAAAGAAATATGAAAAGAGACACAAATCTGGAATTTAAAACCAATATATTTTAATGTGTGGTTCAGTATCTCGCCTATTTAAAATTTAAAGCTATATCATCCATTTTTTCAATAATCTACATAATTGATTATAATATATGTATATATATTTCTGAATAATCATGAAAAAGGGGCTCGGAGAAAAGAGGGGCATGGAATGGTTATAATTTTTATGTAAGAGGGCGTTGATATGGACGAGATGAGATATTTAGTTGATTGTGTGTGTGATGAGTTGGATTAAAATTCGAAAGTTAGTAGTACTATTAAGACATTTTGCTTTAGTTAAAGTTGCGAAGCTGTTATCATGTTGAATGGCTAAAAGTGGAAAAAAAAGGTGAAAACTTATTTAAGTCAGTTAAACGACCTTAGAAATGATTCAAGAGTAGAGACCTATATTTGTGGTTAATACTAGTACTCAGTAGTACTAATACTATTATTATTAAACTAAGTTATAATCACGATAACAAGTTATTACTGTTAGTTTTAGAGGGTTAGGGGTGTTACTGTGTTAGAATTTGCCTTATTTCTAACTGGTTACTCATTATTATTGAACTGGTTCATAATAAATTAAATAGTTTGACGTAGAATCTATAGTGTTTAAGATCCTTTGATATCAGGTGGTGTAGCTGACACATATCACATGATTAAATAAACACACATTTTCCTCTGTGTTGAGTTTTGAAGTTGTTCATGTATCAAAATTCAATTGTAGTCAGAGTTTGACTGCTTGGCCATACCACATATGGTAGATAGTGGACATGAATGTTTAGAACTTTAGATGCTTTACAGCTCACAAGAAAATACAAGAACAAAACGTGAGCAAAGATTTACTTTGTCTGATTTTAAACATCCAAGCCAAGGTGGTAATCTTAATATGTCACATAGTCTCAACCATTTAAAGTACTTTAATCCGAAATAGAGGACTTGTTTAAAAATCTATTCACCCTTTATTTGTAATGCATAATCTATTTGGCTGTATAAATAATGCAAGAAACAACAGCTCAAGCAGGGATTAGAAAATTTTTGATAGGCTTAATACCTGTAACTAAAACCTAAATTAGTCATCTGAGTAATCATGAAGTTACACCCACAATGTCTCAACTCCTACTGCCTTTCTCAATCTGCAGCCTTCCCACAACAATATTAACTAATTGATCTAAGTCATTCTGTAGCACCACAACATCCTCAATATAGTTAGGAATACCTAAAAGTGTAATATCACCAGCAAGTTGTACTAATTTACTAATTATGCCCCTATCTGTGCTGTTGATGTAAATAAATAAGGCCCACCACTAACAATAAAATGTTCAGTTTGACTGGACTACATTAATAAGCTTTTGCTTTCTCTCACCCAGCTATCCTTCAGTCCAGTTAACTAGTCATTCTTCAACCCATTCTGTATGTTCATTGAGAAAGAACATAACTTTTAAATTCATATAATTAGAAATTTCACCTTAATGAACTAGATTTACACATTTTTGTGAAGATTTCTTAAAAAATACACAAATTCAAGAGTGAAATGCTTGTTTGTAAACTCGTGTTTTTTTTGTGCTTTGGTCTCCATGGCTATTGTCATTGTTGTAGGCAAATGATGTAAATTTCTGACACTGGGTATAATTTTTATTTTAACTAATTAATAAAAGATAATACCACTCTCAGTCATAGATTATTTTGTGAAATGTACTGTAATTATTTCAAATTTCACACTATTCCATTAAAACATCTGTCATGTAAACGGCTCCTCGACTAATATAGGAAGTCAAGGACTTTCAGGTCATCAGTTTGGGAATTTGGACCCATTGAAAAACTCGGTGGTCTTTTATAATTTTGAATATGTGTAGATATAAAATTATACAGAAATCAAGTGAAGTTTCATAAAGCATGATCTCACGGGGGATGTTAGTGTATCAGCTTGCCTCGATATACATTAGAATGCAATTTTGTTCAGTATGAATATAAGAATTGCTGATGTATTCCAAATATTTTGAGGAGCTGCAGCAGTAGCTGAACAAATGTACAATGTTTTGCTTTGTCATTTGAAATTTGTCATTCACAAAGATTACAATTATATTTTCAGTGAAATTATATTATATAACTTCATAGATTAACATAAGACTATTACCAGTATTTGAAAACAAATATATTTGGGTAGAGCTGGGCAATGAACTTGATATAATTTATTTCTTATGAGCATCAATTAAATCTTTTAGTGTCATGTAAAATAATCAATTAATTGAAATTACAATTTTAATGATTAATGTCACAAATAATCAACTAATCAAAATTAGTGTTTTTAATTATTCCAACTATCCAGTAGTTGAAATTACAATTAAATTTATTGTAATGAAAATAACCAATTAATCATAATTAGTGTTTCAGATTATCATTTTAGATTATTCCAGTTATTCAGTAATGATTAAGTTGATTAATTTCATGAAAATAATCAGCAATTATTTGCTGTTTTCAATTATTCTTACTATCCAAGTAATTAAATATTATAATTGTTTGGGATAAATCATAAGGTTACACATTGGGCTATGTGTGCTTATTGTAGGTATTGAAACTTATTTGTTGAGTTATAAATTCTTCTAGTCAACTCTTGTGAAAAAAAATAGAAAAACATTTGATTATTATTAGAATATTTGATTAGTTGAATGTAATTGACTGAGGAGCCTGATGTTTAATCAATTACTAAATTCCACTAATCATCCTGATTTCATATACTGGTTGGCCCCCGTATTCTTTTCATTAACATGGAAAAGTATTTTCAGAGGTAAATAGGTATTAAAACTATTTATGTGAATGGCCACAATATGATGGACAGAAGGTGTGATGATACTGATCACAATGCCATGTCAGATTATGTTGACTTTATCACATGGGAATTATCAGTTAGTTGAATATGATTAATTAATCAGCACATTTTGTTAATTGTCTAGTTTTAGTTATAAACATAGTTTTATTATAACAGTATAATTTATCATAGCCTTATTTATTCATTATGAATAATTAAAGAAAAAAATTAAATGGGAAGGACAGGTCATTGGAAAATTTGATTTATCTACAATAGTTTTGTTATCTGAGGTACTTGTGTTTTATACATTATCACCATGAGTGTAAGGTTACTTTACAAATCTCACATAAACAAGAGATACTTTCAGGTTCTTTAAATCCAACTTTTGATTGGTCAGCTATAAAGAAAGTATGTAAAAGAGCAGTTCAGTTTTTGATGTTTTCAGAGATTCATTTTAGTTTTAAGAAATCTAAAATTGATGTGTGCTGTGCTGCATTTTCTGTCAGTTTTTTGTTCAGTGATCAGTTATTAAAAGTCATCTATGGTCATCTGTTAGCATGAAATAAGTGTGCTTGTTTTTGTGTAAAGTTATGTGTACTCTTGTTTTTTTCATTTTGTTAGCAACATATTACTTTTTTTTTCACCAGTCAAATTCTTGAACCTCTTGTTATTAAGGCGATTACTTAAATCCGTGTGTTCTACGTTCTGAGTCCTGGAATACCACAACTGCTGTATGATGATTGTGAAGTTGCCACTAAACCTTATTTTAATAGAAATTTAAATTGAATTATCCCTTTAAAATGTAACAGTCCAACTATTTACGTGTATCAGAGATTTATCATATTAATATAAAGAAATACTAATAATTTCCATCAAATAATATTTTAAAGCTTAAATATAATTCCTTAAACTTAATAACAGTAAATGATCTTCTGTGTACTTAAATAGATATTATTATACTTTTTGCAATTGAGAACAAGTCTTTGCAAAATTTCTTGTGTAAGATTGTTATTAAATACTTACTACTTATATTCCAGAAAAATAGGGTAATATTAATTTGAATTGCATTTTGGAATGGGCTGTTAGATTGGATACTAGAGGACAGAGTGAAATACATTTTTTCTGCTATTTTGATCAAACAACAAAACTATTTCAAGGTTAAATTTCATTTGTACTAGCTACCCAATAGTTCTTATTATTCCAAATTTTTCTGAAACTTCTTTTCCTGAAATTGAGGATATGACACACTTCACTATGATTGACAATAATTATATGATAACTAGAACCACACAAGCACTCTTCTCCAACACCATTTCTTACCAGAACGAAAGTTGCTTATGAAATAGCATGAAATAAAGCTTACTTTTCCAGCAAAATTTATATACCCATAGAAAACTTTGCTGTTGTAAATGACCTGACTAGAAGGCATGTTAAAAGGTACAAATAATTATTTTTCTATTATAAACCTTAACACTATTACTCTGCACATTTTCAAACCTTCATAACATTTTTCATAAAATACCCCCTCCAATCTCAGTATAACAGCGTGGTTTCATGTCTTATATTTTCCTAGATTTTTCTTCCCCAAAGTTTAAGTAAAGCCCATCAGATGCTTTTAGCATGTTTCATTTTTGATATATATCTCTTACCTACACCTAAACTTATGGAGAAAATAGGCAGTTTCTGTCATTACAGCATCAGAGTAGTCATCTGTAACTTGATTACATTATAATAACTTTTCTGACTCCCACTATTAATATTACTTGTTGTTACATGCATTAAAAAATAATCTTCACTTTCTCTGATGTAAGTATCTTTGTCTTCATGATGTTTTGAACTGTAGCGCTCTCATAGCATAGATTTGGCTATATGAATGTTAAGGGACACAATCTGCTTATTAAACAAAAAAATATTTGTAAAAAGAAATCAAATTCATGTAAATCTACAAAACATAATTAGAATTTAGAGAAATATTTATAAATTTTGGCCAGGGCTGCAGAATCCTTGTACCCAACTTCATTGTGGCTTAACTGAAACATTACCATTAACTGATGTTGAACACCTACATCACCCTGTTATACAAATTTTTTGGAAGGGTAAGGTTCTGTGCCCCAATGGTTCTTGAGATACTGTAGCCCTGACTTTGACTAATCTGTTAATCCATTGGTGCACCAACTTGATATAACTTTATTGGAGCATGACCCTTATGCTTGGGTCCCCTTTTAGCACAACATGTACTGCAGGTCCTGCACCATTCTTCCACATCTTGCCTCATACCTATCCAGTAAAATCTCTGCCATAGGTTACACAATGTCTTCTTAACTCCAAGATGTCCTCCTCTTAAACTATCATGGGATTGATGCAGCACAACTTCCATTAACTTTCTCGGTATAACTGTTTGCCAGGTTGTCAGTTTCCCATCTCCGGACAAGACTACCATCTTCAAGCTTCAACTGGTCCCATTGTGCCCAATAGTTCTTTGTCACAGGGCTTAAGCTAGACACCTTCTCCCAAGCAGGACACAAAACACTTGCTTGTAGAAAATCAGTTATTGGCTTCAAATCTTGGTCTTTCTCCTGCTCTGCTTTAATATCTATACCTGCTTCCACTTCACCATCATCAACTCCTTCAGTCACTCTGACTTCAGCTTGATGGCACCTGGTTAGTCCAACCTCTCTTTTAACACTTACCAAAATTTAGTCTTTGTTGTTCCCAAACATCATTTTATCAAAGTTAGCTACACACTTCCTCAGTAGTAAGTAGTCCAACCCTATTATGCATGGGTCTTCA